CTTAATATTACGAGAATGAAAAGGTTTTTATTTCTCCTATGTTCTACTTCTTTAATAAATGCAATTGATCACAATATACACGATACATGATATTTAAAATTCCACGCATTGGTTGGAGAAAAGTCCATGATCTGGTTAATTCATTTTCATTTTCATTTTACGTACTCTATTTACCAAAGAGTAGTCTCTGTTAGATTCAAACAATGGCATAGACACCAGATAAACTGTTAGTTTTTAATTTGTATTGTCCAGGAAGACAGACACACGCAACCTTTATTGTCATTTTATATTCTGTATCTTACATAGTATCTAGATCATGTTTAAATATACCCGGTATTAATGAATTTCAAAGTGCTTTTAGTAGGTTTTTTGGAGACATTCGTAATTTATTAAACCTATCTCTTCAATAGTTGTATGGACAAATTCCATTCAGTTGACACCAGCTCAGGTAACAGCCGCAGAAAATTCCAGTTCTACGCTTAAATGTTTAAAGACAAATGAAATTCTGATAGAATCACTTTGGTTTAACTCTCAGATAAATTTTGCCGCAAATTTATATTACTTAAATGATCAATGTATTACATCACGGTTTCTAAACAACAATGCTTTATTTACCAGTGTGTATAATGGTAATGGGACTTATTCTGTGATTCTTAACAAAATTGACCGTTCACAACATGGAGCTGAATGGATATGTTCAGAGACTATATTCAAATCAAATACAGTCCATATAAAAGTTTTATGTAATGCAATATTTACATATAAATGCTATATTGCTATAATGCACCAATAATTGCCAATCACTGATCTAGTTTCTTAAATTTTCATATATTGTATAGACTTTGTAACAACTTTTTTAGGAAATTGTCTCTAAACATTTTTGTTGCCGGAAATATTTCCAAATCATCCGAATGCATTTGATCTTACTGACAAGTAGCTTTTTCAAATACAGTTTTATTGGGTACTCATTCCATAGTCTGTATAATATTAGGCAGTTATAATGATTCATAGTTTATTAAATTGCCGTGCACATTTTCTTTTAATACTTTGAATTAGTAACTGAATCGCAGAATTGTCTATTTTTTCATACTTTAAAAACCTATCAATTTCTGTATTTATTGAATAACGAAGGACCAAAATGTAAAAAAAAATACTATTTTAGCACAACGTTTATCGACAACGTTTCATAATTAGTTGATAAGATATGTGGATAAAGTTTTCATATGTGACATAAACTTATGAATATACATGCATTTCTTATAAACTCCATACTTTTCTTGTTGAAACATTTTAACAGTTCCGGCTACAAGCGTGAAAGTGATTCAACATGATGGGCACTACATGAAAGAAAATCAGGAAACAAATATCTCCTGCAGCACATCAGCATGTCGACCAGACCCAAGAGTAGAATTAATACTGGACAGATTGTATATAATCTAACACAGTTTTAATCAACAAATAGGTCAATGGTCAAAATAGTCTAAAAGCCGTTGAGAGTGTTTAGAATTTAGTCCAAATAGGACGATTAATAACTTTCTTCTGTATTGTAAAGGGTGGACTCGATCTGATAAAGCTGACAAAACAAGCAGAGAAACCATTTTAATGTTACATGTAAGGCATTTTCTTTCGTTCTTAATTGATAATCTAAAATAAAAATTATGCTCAGCAATGTTAACTGACATAGCTGAAATAACTCAGGATTATATCTGTAACTACATTTTTATATTTTTTTATGTTGACGTGTTGCTTTTGGATAAATCTTTCTAGTGCCGGTACACATATTTTGATATCCTGTTATCAAGAACCACTGTATTCTTGGTATACAGGCAAAGGACATATTTAATGAAAAATGTTTTTATTGGAACCCTGCTATTTATATTCATCTGTCTCGCGTCCATGATAGAACTTAAAAATTGGTGTGGATTCAGTAAAAGATGCACCTTATGCACGCCGTCCGAAAACTGCAACTTTGCCAAAACATGGTTTAAAAAGTAAATGAATTGATTGCTACTGATGCAAGGTTTACAACTAGGTATATAGCTAAATGCGTTGGTATCTTTGTAGAAGCCGCTCATACGTGATTGAAATATTAGAAGGATAAGTGCCAGATGGAAACCCCATCTCCTTACACAAGAGCAAAAACCTGCCCGAGTAGGAATCTCGAGTAGGAATCTCTAAACAATTGTTGAACCAGTTCTCGAAATACAACAAGAAACGGTTGAACCGGCTGATGCTTCCCATTATTCAGTCCGAATGAAATTAAGATTTATATTGTTTTATACAGTGGTTGAAGTATAATTATAAAATAATATGTTTACTAATATTCTCACTGATTTTCTTTTATAACCTTCGTCATTATCAGAGAAAAAAAAGGATATTTAAATAGCGTTTTTAATCCGACCGTGCATCTATGAGGTTCCCTATCTACAAAAACATGTATTGCCAACAAACTGCGTAAATGATCATTATATTCACCCAAAGGCAATATGTGAAATTCTATTTAATGGCTCTTAATCTCTAAAAAAGCATGTGCTAAGAAAAACTATTTGTACAGAGCAACATTCGAATTTCACTTATTTCTCACGTTTCAGCAAAAAAACAACATGAGTGTGCATTATTGCAAGAAACTGATACGCATTAACTGCAATTTATGATAACCTTTTTCACTAATAATTCACGGCCTTTAACGGCCGAGATTTTATAATAAAAAAACCATAGTTCTATCCCTCTAAAGAGGAACTGTTTTCATTTGATGAATCAGGTGGTGAAGTGTTCTGTTCCTTTCTTTAATTTGTACCTTTCGAAACTTAAAAAAATGTTTATTTTGAAAAAGTATTTTTTTTAAATGTATAGAATAGTTTGACAACTGGTAGACTGAGAATTTCTTTTAACATGGAACCCGAATTAACCCAACTTTGTCTTTTTATTTCAAATCCCCCAGACAATTCACCTTTGATACAAGGAGTTGAATATAACGGTGATATATGGGTCATTGTGTCTGATAAAGGCACGTTTGTTTGTTCAATTACCGGAGGAAACCCACTTGTATCATTGGAATGGAACTGTTTCGACAGTCAGGACATAACAATGAGTACCCAAGAAAGCACCGTAACAAGCGCAGTTAAATGGACGGCATGGCGCAATTATATCACATGTTCCTGTACTTAGGTAACTGAAAAAAAACTTACAGTGAATGTGCAATGTAAGTTTAAGTATTAATTTTCCTTGAGTGCGTCATGAGATTTTGCAAAAAGGCGCATATCTTATCTAATGAATGCAATAAATTTACTGTTTACAAAAACAGACAAATGACATTTGATAAACATGATTATAAAGGTAAAGGTATATTATTGTTCCTGAAATATTAGATTTACTCCTTAAAATCCTTATTTTGTTTTTGTGTTTTCAATTCATTTAAAATTTAATTTGTACTTTCCCGATTTTTGTTTAAATTATTTATAGATACAGTGGAACATGTCTAATCCGAACTCGTCCGGACCAGAAGAAAAGTTTGGATTAGAACCTGAATCAGTAACTAATATTAATGTATAATTTCTGCTTATTGATGAATGCGTGTCCATCTTCGTAATGAGATATTAAACACGGATTTTCGATTTCTTCATGCATGTCGAATATCATCATTTTCACAACACATAATCTCGAATTATTCAGGTTGATAATCATACCTGCGAATTTGGACCATGTATGTACTAAAGCTATGACTATAATAAATATTAAAAAAAAATATTAATATAATATAAATGTCATATTTGTGCTTAATAAACTCCATATACTTCAATGTTTTCTTGATTCAATTTAGTGTTCATATGAGAAAAGCAGTTACCTTCCCCATGAATGATGCAAATATAAACTTTCAAGGAAATGTGTGGCTGCTTTTACAGACACACCTCAAGAAGTATACAATATCATTGATTTTACTTTAACTACATTAACTGAAATATCGTAATCAATATAAATAGATTTTATCATAGTTAGTAAATGTCTTCGACCTTCAGATGCCATTTGATCTTTGGCATTTTACTTCTTTGTTCTAGTTTATTAATATCGTACAACGTATATTTATTGCTCTAGTGCCCGTTTCCTTTAACTAACCATTACCAGTGTTATATTTATAAAAACCTGACAAAGGCTCGAACCCATGATCAATGGGTTGAAATGCAGTGATTCCTTTCTGGTGTTAGTTCAACAGTTAAAAAAACATCACATGTGTTTCATAGAAATATAATATTATATATTTTGTAAATATATATAATTTTATGATTAAATTGTCTTCATTATTATTATTGTTATTTGGATAAATGGCACTAAACACAAACTTGTATTTCCAGGAATATAAGATCTTTAGGTCGTGAAAGTCCAAAACCAGGTAACAAACATAGAACAATTAAAGTGAATATTTTGTTTTCGGGCTGTATTTGAAACCATGATTTTCTGCTATTATATGTATGAGTTATAAAAATGTGTGTATATAAATGAATCAACTTAGTGATATAATTTTCTAACATAAATTGTTAATATTGTATACTTATATGTTGTGTGTATGATTATCGGTTTACCTTGTCTTTCATTTTTCGTTATGTTAAGAAAATAATGAGCCTTTTTATTTAATTTATAAAATAAATTTTCTTACATTATGTTTTCTTTCATTTCATTCAGCCAAACATAAATAATTTATCATTTAACTCCATAATTAATATCCTACAAGGATATAATATAAATAAGAAAGACAATGTAGGAGTGGCTACTACAGGTTCACTTTAATTTTATCGACAGAAAAAGAGCGGGATACGTTTCATAAGTCGATGAATAATTGATCTAAATGACACACTTATTTAAAGACACACTTCGTTTAATTTTGTCTAATGTATAAAATTTTAGATGTCTCAGACTGCCATCTACCATGTTTTTGCAACAATCTTTCACAAACTCCTTGATTACTAGCCGAAGTAGCACCTTCTGATGAATGCAAACCAAAATTTCTAGTATTCTAGTATAGATAAGAATTTCTCTAGCACGCGTATAACATATTCACCTTTTTTCTTGCAAAAACTGACTTTCCTAAATAAGTATTCCCCCGAATCTATATTAATTTTCCCCATTTTTAAATACTTCTCCAAGGCAGTAACAGGACAGGTAAACTTATTAGTTCTTGCTATAACTACTGTAGCTCCCTTCCTTAATTGATCTGTTTTAGAAGATCCTAACATTATTTTGACCTGACTATCATCAATTTCTAAATCAGATCGTTTTAATTGTATTACTTCCGCAAACCGTAAGAATCCAGAAAAACTAAGAAGAGACATTGTAATAAATCTCATATCCATTAAGTTTACATTTGAATTAAAATGTAAAACTAATTTAGCTAAATCTTCGGCCAAAAGAGGCTCTTTAGGCTTAGACGGCTTACCACACTCCCTTAAAATGCCACATTTAATATTTTTCACAAATTCAGAAGAACACGGATCTTCTAACCCGGCCATTTTATGAGCACAAGAGATTGAATACAAAATACTGTTTATTTTTGACTCTGACGAACCATAGGTGAAAACTGATGACAAATATAAAGCTACATGTACATCAAGCGCAGGTAAAGAGCTGAAATTGTATTTCTTACACCATAAACAAAACAACTTAAAATAGCATTTATATTTCTTTAACGTATTTTCCGCTTTAGATTTTAATGTGAACTTTTTAAGCTTTACATATTCTTCATGTAATTGTTGTGGTAATCTTAACTGGTCCAGCTTTCGCCATACTCCAACTTTTAACACGTCTGTGAAATGTATAAAATAAACTTCTATTTAAAGCAACATAACAATAATAACAACCCAGCCCACTTTACGGCAATCTCAAACAACAAATCATGCAGACCGAGACTTCTGCTACATAAATAGATATAAATACAGACATGTACAGAATTTGTGTACATCAACATCATTCTTATCGATCGGATCGATACTTCGTCTGCATAGGATGCTAGACGGACATGTACAGAATTTATGTACATAAACCTCTCGATACCTCGTCTACATAGGATGCTAGACGGACATGTACAGAATTTGTGTACATCAACATCATTCTTATCGATCGGATCGATACTTCGTCTGCATAGGATGCTAGACGGACATGTACAGAATTTATGTACACCAATGTACACCAGTATATATGCATGTATTAAAGGAGGGGGACATGATGATAAGTAAACGAGAAAAAATGTAATGCTGTTAATCTGAAATACTTATTACAAAAATAAAACTTCGTTCAAAATAGATTTATTCAGTTTAACTTGCAAATAGATCAACAACTAACAAAACTTCGTGTTTTCTTATTCTAAGCGAATAGCTAAAACTTTACTATTAAATCTTCTTGAATCAAAAATACAGTTAATGCAATTTTTGTTCATGAAAATATTTTGACCTGCTTTAAACTCTAGAATATCTTTGATAAAATCTTGCTTGACGCCATTGTTTTTAAACAAAATTGGCCAAAATGACGAACTGGGCCATTTAGGAACTATCAGAGTGCCTTTCCCTTTACATGCTAAAAGGTGAAATATAGTTCTAGAAACAAGATATATAGGTGGCACAAGCCAGTTATTGCAGTCTGACCAAGACTGTGTAAAAGCATCGATTGCCTCAGACTTATATTCATAAAACAAAGAGTTAAACCGATTTAATTTGCGATTTTTGAAGCTGGCAAACCTATCTACTTCATGAGGACCCCACATTTGATCAATAAAATTGAAAAATTCGGTAGTAACCTCCCACTCATCTGAACTATATATTTTACTTATGTCGTCTGCTATCTGATTATGCTCACGTGGTACCCACTGAATGCTTAAATCTATGTTCCATTTTAAACATAATTTAAAGATATTAAGCGACTCAAGTTGCAAATCTAATTTCGTGCTACCCGACTGAACAATTTTCACACATGACTGAGAATCAGAAAACCACTTTACTTTAGAATTTTCTAACAAACTTTCATAAGCTCGTAAAGCAAGATAAACTGCTCTTAATTCTCTAAAAGTTGAACTCTTAGCCTGTTCTTCATTATTCCAAACGCTATGGAACACACTGTTTTTGCAGTCAACGATATAAGAACCACATGACAGATGACTTGCATCAGAATATATCAAAGTCTGTACCTGATTGTACGCCGACAATTTTCTGACATTTAACTTCTCTAAATTTTCAACCCAAAAATTTACTTCAGTAAGGCAAGGATGATTTAATGGCAATTTATAACAAAAATCCCACGACTTACTAGTCTCTATCTCTTTATACAAATACCTAGTCATCAGTCTTGCTATATTCCCAATAACGGGCATCATAGAAATGACTTTTCCTGTAAATTTCGCTAAATGTCTAGCAGAGACATAAGGGAGAGAACCCAACAATAACTTGAGAGTTATGTTAAAATCATTAATTCTTCTTTGAGGAATGGATATACAAAATTTTTCACTGTTCCAGAAAATACCAATCCACTCCAATTCTTGAACTGGGAACCATATTGATTTTTCTTGATTAATTAAAAAACCTGCCATCTCAAGACTGTTCTTAACAAAATAAGAATCGGCTTTAGTCTGTTCAAAAGTTTTGTTGCTACCCCAACCATCATCTAAAAACATTACAATTTTTATTCCGTTCAATCTCCAGTATTTAACCATTTCCCTCAACACTTTTGTAAAAATGTAAGGGGCGCTACTGATGCCAAAAGGTAAAACAGTAAAACAGTAGTTTTTCCCCTTTACTGAAAAACCTAAAAACGTTTGATGGCTTGGAAAAATGTCTAAATGATGGTAGCCCTTACTTAAATCGAACTTAAACATATACCCATCATGTGTAAAATACTCAAGTCCAACTTTCCAGTCCTCAAAAGATATTTTTTCTTTCCAAATATGTTCATTAACTTTTCTCAAATCTAAAATCAATCTCTTTTTTCCTAAATTGTTGATGGAAACAGTCAATGGATTGATAATATGTGGTGTAAATGGAACCTCAACAACACAATGATTCTTTAAAAGTTCTGAAACAGCTTTTTCTACAAAATCCATATTATCTAATGCAGACTTGTTATTTTTAGAAATTGACCTTTGAGGTACAGAAAATAAAGGTAATTTGTATCCATTTCTCAATGTATCTAAAATATATTCATTAGCTCCAATTTTTTCCCAAAATGATACATTTTTCTTGAGACGACCCTTTACATTTCCATTTAAAACCTTGCTTTTTTCAAAATCTAATTCCTGCATCTCAAAAAATTCTTTTGAACATAGATACATATCTAAATACTTATCATTAACTGGTGGCTGTACTTGTACTGGTTCCGGTTGTCTTACGTATGTCGATTCCGTCGGTACCCTGTTTTCCAGACAAGAAACGGTTGCATTGACGCCGGAAGTGCCCTCTGTACCCACATGCGTAGCAGACGTCATTTGGTGTTGCTCGTCTTTGGCCACGAAAAAGCTGATTGAAGTTGGGACGTGGTGGTAACCAATATCTTGAATCATCTGCCCTTGGTGTGGTTGATTTGTAACCCATGAAAGAAAGAGAATCACTCTTATAAGGATGAAAACGAGCTTGTTTTGAAGAAGTTGTCTTAACCTTTTTAATGGCTCTAGATTCGGCCTGCTTGAGTTTCCGTTCATCATCGCTATCGCTAGCGAGAGAAGGCTTCTCATATTCTCGGACTGTAGACCAGCCCCCGGGGGAACTATCTGCTATTTGTATCAATTTATTCCTGTGTTTAATCTTACTTATCAAACCTTTAACATCAGCCTTCAAATCTGATTTAGACAACTCCTTCAAAATCGACTCCAAACCGTCAAGAATTTCAAGGTTAAATTCGTGTTGAATTCTATGCGACTCTTTATTCAAAGTTACTTTTTTAACTTTAGACTTCAAACTTTGAGAAGTTATATCACTCTTCAAGTCAGACAAACGAGAATCAAAATAACTTCTAAATAAATCAAAGGCTTGAAAAACTTCGTTCCCTTCCCCCGGGGACTTACCTCGTCTATCTCTGGAACGCTCCTGTCCTTCTCGACTATCTCTCGATGGAAACTCACTTTGCCTGCTTGGCGAGTTTCTTCTAACTTCTGGTGAAATACTTCGTCTGCTTCTTGAAGTTCTCGAAGGCGAATACTGTTCTCTGTCCCGAGTTAAACTTTCTCTGGATCTAAATTCAACGTGTTCATTGCCACGTTGCTCATTATCTTCCATTACTATCGTGTAATTACGTCTGTGTGTAGTGAACCTATAGTACCTCGAATGGTCAAATACCCGTGTGCATACACCTTATATATTGACCAGTCTTACGCATCGATACGCTTGGTGGACAGCTGAAATACAGCTGCGCTGTCCACAGTGACCGAAAAATCATATTATATTAAAGACCAATGATAAATAAATTTCTCAAACATAGTTGATTTGCGATTTCTTCAATATGTTGATTTAGGTGTTACTGCCGGAAGCTATAACTCATCCACTTACACAAATTTGGATGTAAGCAGGAGAAAAATTAATAATTAAGATGACTTCAATGTACAATATGAACATCTGAACACTTCAAGCCGGGAGCCAAATACATACATGAAGTTGAAAAATACAAATATACCTAATGCTGACACCTCCGACTACGTTAATATAAAAATATGAACAATCAATTTAAATTGATTGATGAAATACTACTAAATAACTCATTTTGTTAAACATAACAGTCATAAAATATTGGCATAAACCGTTAAAACAAAATTAAAACAATCATATCATTATATAATACTGTTTATATTGTATCTAATTCATGTTAAATGTATGACAAATTCACTGTTGAAGAACACATTTAATTAAGTCTTATATGGTATAATTATTGTTTTTCTATCGCAAGAGTACAGAGAAACTGATAGTAGAACAAATATTACATTTCAAATAATTTATTATAGCAGTTATCAAATGACTTGTAGTTCTTATTTATAGTTCTTATTAATATGTTTGTATCAGTATATATTATATTGATAAAAATGTTGCTTTAAATGGCAAAAGCAGGGTTCACACATAAATTGTTATAGAATTAGAACTGATAAAATTATTATTTGTATAAACTATTTGTTATCATGTTATAATTGGTTTTCTTTGTGCCATACTCTCGAAATCCTACGGTGAAAACTGCTAAAGAATGTGCAGATGCCTACTTCTGTTATGGGCAAGCTTTGTTAGACTAAGCTTGAATGGAGAATGGTGTGCTGGGAAACACCTTTCAAAAATATTAAAGGTTAATGTCTATTTTTGTATATCGAGAATTTATAAATATGATTATCATAATGCATATAAATTTCTCGAATTCTGAATACTGTCCCTTATACCGTGAAGAACCGTAACACGCACACATACGCCGTGTCGTAGGAGTACATTGGTTGCTTAAATTCATCATATATACCTTTATAGTTGTGATATTTAACTGTTTAAATATATGTTTTATT